AGCAGCTGTAAGGATTAGAGACAGCATAACTTGAGGTAACTCTCTGGTTGGGTTCTCGGCAGGCAAGCAATTTTGCCTCCTGTGTCAAGCGCCTGCTTAGCAAAGTGGGACTGATGACTGCACTGACCTCCGCACACTTGGACATTAGACTGGACGGCTGGAGCACACTGGCCAGGAGCCTAACAAGCACCAGGCTTTGCTCACAAACAAAAAAAATACCCCGAACATCCTGAGGTTTCCAGTTGTACATAAGCCACATGGCATGCTCATAGCTTGACTTTGGTTTATCAAACCTTACAGTAGACTTGGAAAAATCTATAGAATCTTCTGAAAGGCTTTAGATGGGAATTTGGGAAAGAGAAAAGCAGAAAACAGTGCTGGATTCAATGTTCAGTAACAGACAATGAAAGATACTGCTGTTGTCCTTGGATAGATGCTGCAGTTCTGGAGTCAATTTGATGTAAACACCTGCGATGCTGGTAGTGATTTAAAAAGAAACCCCAACAAGAAAGCTTGGGTTAAGAGTTGTTTCTTCCCACTTTACTACAAGTCGGTGGAAATTATCTTTGCAGTTGTTTAGCTTGCTATGTGTTGCGGGCCAGCCTTATGGAGGGACCGTTTGAAGGAGTCAGTGGATGGCGTGAATCATACTGTTCACGCAACAGCATATAATCTGATTAGCAAGGTCCTGGATTCAAACTGCGGCGTCACAAGAGCAAACAATCCCCACACGGCAATGGAACATATTAGCCACAGAGAGAAGGCAAATGAGTTCAGAGTTGTGGGTCAGGGCCAGCTCACTGCCAACAGCGCCCAGCGCTAGGTGCGCAGCTGGGAGGTGGGGCCAGGAGGGGCTGCGGACTCCCATGTGCCCTTGCTCCTTTCCTACACCTTGGTGCCCAGTAGTAGCCTTCGCAGTGCCCCCTTCACCTCTTTGTTCCGGAGGGTATAGATGAGCGGGTTCAGCAGCGGGGTGACGATGTTGTAGAAGAGGGTGAGGAACTTGTCCTGGTCCTGGGAGGCGCTGTTTCCCGGCTGCATGTACATGTAGATGATGTTTCCATAGAAGAGCGACACCACCGTGAGATGGGAGCCGCACGTGTGGAAGGCCCTCTGCCTCCCTGAGGCCGAGCGCATGCGCATCACGGCCCGCACGATGTGGCCGTAGGACACCAGGATGAACACCAACGGTGACAGCACGATGCCCACGGCCAGCACAAACACAGTGCCTTCGATGGGCACCGTGTTGACGCAGGCCATGCGGATCAGGGCTGGCATCTCGCACAGGTAGTGGTCCACACGGCGGCGCCCACAGCGCGGCAGGAGCAGGGTCACTGGGGACATGGCCAGGGAGTTGGCCATGCCACAGCCCCAGGCCAGGGACACCAGGCCCAGGCGGAGCCTGGGGCCCATGAGCACCATGTAGTGCAGGGGCCTGCAGATGGCCACGAGGCGGTCGTAGGCCATGACAGCCAGGAGCAGGCACTCCACGCCTCCCAGGGCCAGGAACAGGAAGAGCTGGAGGGCGCAGCCCGCGAAGCTGATGGTCTTGTCCGGGCCATGCAGGTTGTAGAGCAGCTGAGGGATGGAGCTGCTGGTGAAGCAGAGGTCCAGGAAGGACAGGTGGGTGAGGAAGTAGTACATGGGGGTGCGCAGGTGGGGGTCGAGCCGGGACACCAGGATGATGGTGGTGTTGCCCACCAGGGTCAGGAGATAGGCCAGCAGGATGACCACAAGGAGGACGCTCTCCAGGTGTGGGCGGGCAGAGAAGCCCACCAGGACGAAGGTTCCCTGTGTGCTGTCATTGGTTCCAACCATCCTAGTGCACCTGAGGGAAACATCAGGGGGAACAGCGACGGCTGAGGTCCTGGAAGCTATTAATTATCCTGAGCCAAGAATTCTTTTGTGATTTTTTGGAGTGGTGTTTGTTTGTTTGTTTGTTTCTGGTGGGAAAGATTTGGGATTAAACCCAAGATCTTGGCACTAAGCTACATCCCCAGCCATTTCTTTTTAATTCTGAAGCAGCATTTCGCTCGGGCACTGTATTGGTCAGGTTGAGCCTGAACATGGGGTCCTCCTCCTCGGCTTCCCAGAGCTCTAGGACTGCAGGCTTGCGCCATGCGACAGTTTAGTCATGTAACTGCAGCCACAATGGCATGGAGCTGGCACTGTTAGTAAAGCACACGTCCCCTAGTTATGAGAGAAAACCAAAGTCCTTGTTCCCAAGCAAACTGTCAGCTAGGCAAAGGGACAAGGTCCATTTTGTGCACCAGAAACTTGGCCAAGCTCTTCCCCGAAGCCCCGCTTGTGCTGGTTCTTACTCCATGATGGGAGCGGCCTGGTACCCTGCCATGTTCCTGGGTGCCCATCACAACCTCAGAGACACAAGACGGAGGTCCAGAAATCAAGCATTCAGGGCAGCTGAGTCTTCTCCCCTGAAGACTTGAATCTCGTGCTGCCACTGGCACGTGGA